TTGAGTCAAGAGAAGTTCGATAAATTTTAAATTAATTTCAATTCCGGATTGCTCGTAAAATCTGTCCTTATTTTACCCTAGATTTAATTATTTGCATTGTTAATTAAAACACTTCGATGCTTTTTCTTAAATTATCCATAAATTTTAAAAAAATTTATTTTTATGAATTGGATGTAAAGGATTTTTGGAGAGGTTATATTTTAAGGAACACAAAAATGAAAATAAATTGAACTTAATCCAATTAAAAAGATTCCCAAAGATTTAACGAAGTTCGAATTTCAAGATTATTCTAATCAACGTGCCATAGGAATTAAATTATCATGGATGTATAAAGCTAAGAATTCGGGAACTAAGAAAATCCGATTGCACTTCTGCCAATTTTCATAATTAACCTAATTATAAACTTCTGACATTTTAATGGAAATTAAACCTTAAAAAACTAAATCAGACAAAATGCATCCCAAAAGAACTGAAAAACCTCACGCATCAGAAAAAACAAAACAGAAAAGAAATTCTTGTCACATTCGACTCTTTGTCCTATTCGCTACTGAAATATAGTTTAATTGAAGTAAATTGCAGGATTCTAAAAGAATATCAATTTATCAACGAGAGACATCGTTATACAAAGTAAATAAGCCAATTAAGCTTCAATGATTCCAATGGTGACATTTTTTACCTTATTTTACCTTGCTTCTGTTTCTTCTTACCACTATCAAGGTGATGAGAGGTGATCGATCATTATTGAGATGTTTCGCTTTCATTGAATTTCTTTTTTATTCTACTGCTGTTTTTTGCTATCTTCCACATATTATTCCGTATTTAAAGAGAACATTAAATTAAATGATATGAGAATATTGAGTATTTGTACTCGATTTCCTAACCATACGTACAAATAGCTGACTGGATGATACAAATGAATAAAATTTTACGATCGACAAGATTGTCTGATTATGATTATCCGGTAAAGATGGAAGAAATTTTTTTTTAAACGTTCATAACAGATCTTTGGTCTCAATTGCACAATTTCGGCCGTCGCAATACACATAGACATGATGAAATAATAAAGAGCCAAAGAAATTTGAATAATACGCAAAGAAATGTGAAGAAAATACATAATAACAATCAGTACATGATGAAACTATGTGCAAAGTGTCGAATAGAATTTTTATTTCTCTCTCTTCAATTTTTTTTTTGGTATGCAAGAGAAAATTTTCTTTCTTCTACATTTTGTGAAAAATATTTTATTGATACATGTTTGTGTATTCAGGTTACTAATGCCAAAAAATCTACTTTGCATTCATAAAGATTTTTAAGTATTTTTTTTTTTTGGCGAATAATCGAATTACTTCGCTGTGTTTTAAAAATTCACTTGTGTGTGAATGAAAGCTAATGAATGGAGTTAAATGATAATCTTTAAGTACTAACTGGCTGTTGGAGGGCTTGAACGCATTTATTGACAGAATATTTAATAATTTGACGAGTAGAGGTTTTCAAAATTTGGAAGTCAGAAAAGTTTTAAAAAGGCTTTAGGTTCCAATTTGCTTCGCGATAAAAAATTTGAAAAACTTTATTTTTTTTTCATATGTGTAGTAATTAAAATCAATAGCTATCACTAGCTCTATATACTTTAAAATTATTATATTCAAACCAGTCCCAATCGATCCAAATGTTCTAATTACAAACAATTCAAATAAATCTAGCAGTACTCACCAGCCAAACTAGCCATAATAACCCACATCATCTCCATAAAATGCTATTAAAAGCCACAAATTAAAAGAGACTTTTCTCTGTCCGTTCCAAATGTATGAGAATATCATCCGTGATTAATACACCGAATTTTCTGTGATCAATTGGGAATTATTGGATATTTTACCTGCTCACTTACTTACCTAACATACGGTATGGTGAGAATGCTCACGTTTGAGCATTAAATTTCTTTTTCTCACTGGCGACAGCATAAAGCAGCTAAATTTTGTGCTACATTTTAAGCGATGAATAATTTACGATAAAATAATTGCAGTGAATGCAAATAAAATGAAAATATTTTTATTAGCGGAGATTTTAAAATTCACTACGATAATTTTTTATGTCTTTTTGAAGATTAAAGTGGAGCTTCCTGAGATGGAAATGAAGACTTTTTTAAAAAAAAAGTAAACGCAATTTATTTAAATTAGTTAATTGTAGTTGGATGTGGCTCAATAACCAACATACTTCAGCTTCTTCTTTTCCTTAAACTCAAATTAAGTCTTTTGTCTCTTTAATATGTACACAGTATTAAGTTAATTTAATATATTAATCGTTTCTTTCTCTCAATTTTTTTTTTTTGCAAAAAAGCAATTACTTTCAGTCGTTAAATTTAATTATGTCAAATAATAATCTGCTTATCCTTTCTTACAATAATAAATCTCGTGCTTTAAAATCATGTATTATTATTGTGTATACGGAAAGACGTTGAAAGAAAGAGACTTTGCATGTTTCTTGACCTTGTCTTAATTATTTATTTTTCTCTCATTTTTTGCACATTTATCTTATTATTTTCAACTCATATTCAACGCTAGTAATAAGTCTCATTAGAATCAATCAAATTAATTTAATCAGTTTATGATTACATTTCAAGCAGGTGTTAGATCCGATTTTAGCTCTGTAGGATATTTCATAAATATCTTGAACTAAAACCATTAATGGTAATAAGTTTGGATTAAGATCGAGAACATGCAAATAATTACTAATATTGATCATGTTGAAAACAAGACTGAAAATTTTCCCTAGCCTGTGATATTATATTCACATTTACAGACTAATGTAATATAACACAAGCTTTTCAAACTAAACACATTAAATAAATGTCTGATAACTGAATGTTGAGGTATTCACCGAACTAATTGTTTGGAATTTCGCTAAAAATTGAATAAAAGCTCAATGATCAAGAATGACGCGAACTAATTCATCCAAATAATTACAGTGCACAATTTTACTTACAATTAAGAACATGATATTTTCAGGTTTTATTCACGTCCATTAAAACTTTATAAAGTGCCGAAAATCAAATTAATTTCTTCCTTTTGCAACAGACATTAAAAAGACTTTCGGATATTTCCAAATAAAGATTTAAAAAAAAAACAGTTAATTAAGTTCTCAATTGAGATATGATTTGCCCATTTCTTCTGTCTGACAAAAGTCATGAGGTTCTTGTTATAATTCTTTAACCTCAACTTCAAAAAAAAAATTGACATCGCATGCAGGAATTTGATACTTAAAAATTGAAGACATTCAACTTCAATTTGATCTAGCTTAGCCACATATTTCATGATCATAAAAATTCTTAAGCATACGCGATTTTGAACAGTTATTCTAGCAATTTCAAAAAAGAACGAAGCTTTTTCTTATTCCAAAGTAGTTTTTGATGAGGATTAAAGAACAGCAGAAGAATCATGAAATTAAGGATTAAATAAGAAGGATTACAATAGTTTATTTAAAAGACACTGTAAAAATCCAGTCAAACTGTATTTGCATGAAAGTTGTTTCATTAAAAAATATTCTAGTAAAGTTTTCAAGACTGTTATTCGACTAATCCCATTATTTTCATTCCATCAATAATTCGCATTTATTTCTCGTTTAGAAAAAATTCTATAAAAAATACTAAAAGCCATTCATATATTGTATTTGCCATCATCTTCAATATTACACGGCATGTGTGTATAATTCTGTTTCATAGATTCGGTTGATAAAAACCATTTACACAATAGAAATCTCAGCGGAAGAAGAAGTGACTTCACACTTCATGGAAATTATGAGCAAGTCAAGCTTATTGAAAGTTGGTGACATATTTTTTGCCTTACATTATTCATCAATTTAAAATCATTTTGTGCTGTTTAGTTTTCGCAACCGACCGCAACATTTCAAGCATTCATTGATTTAGAGTGTTTAAATGGGCGCAAAAAATTCTCCAGAAATTCAAGTTCATGATCATTTTCTATTATGAATAACTAGTATTAGTAATTTGATTATAAAACCAACAAGCTTCTCTGAAATACACATAAATATGCGAAATATATCAAAAACAATTTAGACACAGTTAAAACTATTAATTTCTTATGGTTTATAGCAGAAAACACACGAAAATAACAAAGCATTAAAAAGAGATACAATAATTGTAATAATTGATGATATGCGTGAGAATCTCACAAATATTCATGAATTACTCTTTACTATGTTGTACATTTTTGCGATATTTAAACATACGGGGCTATGCTCATTGGCGATACTTAGTTCCTCATATTTTTATGCTTAGCAGACTGTGATTTTTATGAATTTAATTTTCGGGGTTGTTTACAAATAACGTTACATAAAAAATATGAATTTTAGCCTAAAACCCTTATACACAAAGCTGCTTCCTGTCCAAAAACTAAATCAATTATAAATGACTTCTTATAAAATATTTGGATTGAAAACTACCCACATAAATTCTGGTATTTATGCTTGAAATAAACGACTTGAAGCTTCAAATGTCAAAACTGTAAACCACAATGACTCAAATTTTAGACAATTCAATCAATATATTTATGCCACAACAGTTTTTTAAAGCTATAAATAAATCCCAAAAGAATTTCACGAAGCAATAAAAGTAAAAATTTGATCGCAATGAATACTGATTAAGTTCATGAGAAAGTCCTTAACATTTGTGCAGAAAACAACACATGAAAATGAAAACTGAAGATAAGTTGAGATCTTAACAATAGAAGTAATAGATAAAAGTTTATTATCAGAAACAATCTCCATGCGCGTACACAAAATAAAGCATTAATCCGATAAAAAAACCACCATTCTTTTGAATATGTGTAAGCTCAATAAATTTGAGCTCTCTTTTTATTTACAGCTGTAAGAAGCTATTGAGAGAACTTTGTGTGAATGGAATTTATGTATTTTCATGATATTCAATTGAATATTCATTTTCTAATTCATTTCATTTCTTTTTATTCTGCAGTAAAATCGGTAAACGTTGAGAAATAATATTCACGAGAGGCGAGAAGAGACGTGTTGTGTGTCGTATTTAGAAAATCGGTAGTGGAATAGAGAAGAAAGAAATTATGGACAAATTACTATTATCATTGTATTTCACAATACTATTAACAACATTGACAGTTAATTCAGCACCTATGCCAAGTTCAAAAATAATATCGACTATTGAACAGCAGCAGCAAATGCGACAGAAGAAATACGGTCATGTGATAAATAATGACAATAACAATAACAATAATAATAATAGCAATAATGAAAATGATGATTCAATAAAAACTGAAAATGCCGAAAGCAATAGTCAAATGCAGAAAGCCAATAAAAATGCCGACAGAATGGCAGAATATATGGGTGATGATGTTGAAGATGTCGATAATGACGACGATCGTAGACCTTCAAGTGTGTACGACAGACGAGACGAAATAATTGGTGAAATGAGACAGCATCGACAGAATAAAATGTTTGGATATTTTTCATACAATCCATTTGCATACACAGCTCCACCATACACACAATCACTCTACTATCCACCAGAATTTTTCGATGATTTCTCTTCCTACTATGGATTCAATAATGATGAAGAAGAAATCATGTCACGACAAAATCCAGGAAATCGAAGACGTCCAGGAACAGGAAACTTTAAAAACTCACCAATTTATTACATTAGATTGCCTCCAACTCCATACATGTTTGTGCCTGGATTAGGTTACATTTCACAGCCACCAACTTACACTCCAATGCCTCCACCACCACCAACAATTAGCCCATTCTATAATCTTCCACTTGATTTCATTTCAAATGGAAAACCGACAAATATCTACCAATGGGGAAGCCCAGCAGCTCAATTTGCACAACAACCACAATATGTACCACAAGCACCAGCATATCAGCCAAGTTATCAAAGACCACAACGACCTTATCAGCGACCAATGAACCCATATGTTCAAGAATCAAAAGTAACAAATCTCAAAGGTGCATTCTTATTTAATGGTCGTCCCGAGGAAATTTATGTTCTGCCGCCAAGCTCATATAATTCAATTTATCCCGATCCACGATTTGTTTCTCCATATTATTAGAAGACATTGAAATGATAATAAAAGAAAGAATCTGTAGAGAAATAAAAAGAGAGAAATGAACGATATATTTGATATATTTGTGTGCACAGTATGTAATAGTTAATTATAGAAATTAGTGTAATTGATATGTAAGTTTGTTTAATTAAAATTCTGGCGTGTTCATAAAAATTAAAAAAAGTAAAAAAATGTGAATGTGGATAAATTTAAGCGCATTGTTGTAATGAATATGATAAAAATAACTATTTGAAGCTTAATTATGAATATTAAATAAGCTTTAAATTGTCAATAATTCTTAACATTCATGAAATTTGATTTTTAATCCAAATATGCCCGAATAACACAAGTCGGTTAATTGATCAGAAATCTGGGACCAAGCCAGTATGACTCTGGCGTGGTGCTAGTTTTAAATTGATGCCCGCACCATGCCAGAACCATACCTGCTTGGTGCTGGATTTTTTATTCGATTAACCAACTTGTGCTATTCGGGATGGAAGCTCTAATTTTGTTATAAAAATGCGCTTGAAAAAAATGAAATTAATGTATGAATATAGTAAGTTATAATGTTTTAGTGACACGATAAAAAAAAAGAAAATTAAATGATATGATGATGAAAAGTCCTTGAACTGATCACTAGCTAGTTTTAAAAAAATAATTAAGTAGTTTAACGATTTTTGACATAAAGCATTTTTACTTTTATGACTGGCAATTTTGATAAGCATTTTTGTGTAGTGTTGCATTTATACCTTCATTTGAAATAAACATAAATTAATCTTGAAAATATAGAAATTTATTATTATTTATTTTTAAAATGTGTCTTTTCAGTTTGTTTTAAATTTGTTCTGCATTTACTTTTTATGAAGCATATATTAAGTCATCATAAACTTTTAGGTCCTAAATATTAAGTGTTCTTAGTAAAAAAAATTCTAGAACATTTTTTCATGCTTACTAATTCAAACATTTTAACGCTTGAACTTCCAAATGTTTACAATCTAAGATGTTTCATTTATGAATGAATGATAATGATGATGATGATATTGCAAAAAATTTTAATGATCGCAACTAGAAAATAACAATGAAAAAATATTTTTTCCGTGTTAATGATTTCGACAAATCAATCTCAAATGTAAATTACTCTACAACATTATCATAGATTATAAGATATCTTATGGCTTAATCGGGGTTAATTTTTGTATAGAAGTACATACAATTTAATTAAATTTCAAAGTAAGATGAGAAAATTTATTATTTAGATATGTTATTGAAAAATTTACAGGAAGCTATGAACTATATTTGAAATATGGGTGAACTGTTGGATCTGACCTTGTCCTAATAAATATTTTTGCTAATAGCAATGAAATTAGAAAATGGTGAGAAAAAGTAAAAATATTAAAGATATTACTGACCAATAAAGTAAACTTCGGAACTTAATAAAAAAAGCTAATTTCATTTTAGAAACACTTGAATTGATAAAGCATCTAAAGATTTAACAATCAATTAAGAATTTGACAAAAACCAAGTTTAAATACTTGAATGAAGAATGCAAATATTTCCTTTGGTCAAATAGCCATTTAGAAGTGCTATCCAATTCGAAAAAAATGACTAAGAATACTTTATTCTGAAGGTCAATTTCACAACTGTAAAAGCTTTAAAGATAATTGTGCAAAAAAGTAAGAGAAATTATCATTAAAATTATTCTTAAAAAGCATCAATCACATGATGAAAGGTTCTTAAATTGAATTAAACCGTAATTTTCATTAAACATCCCACAAAGAATTATTCTTGTTTACTTAGGAGATATGGATACACCGATAAAATTTAAATTTCAATTATTTCTCAACCAATCATGACTAATTCTACTGTATATCGATTACGTCAAAGATGATTACCAAGGACAGATTTGTTACGGATTTATTTTATGACACTGGCATAGAACATCATAAAAGTCGACATAACAAAATAATTAGAAGATTTATGCTTATTTATTCTCATTAGAGCTTTTTTATAACAATCATTAAATGCATATAAAGTAAAAATTATTTACAGCAACCAGTGCACTTATAAAGAATCAGCTGATAAGCTAGCTAATATGTTGCACTACAATGCTGTTTTCATAGGCAACAAACGGAACATTTTTATTGCGCAAATCACGCATGCTTTCACAGAATAAATATGATTATTAAATTCTGTATTGCTAGAATAGAAGGTTCTCATAGTTAGCCGCTAAGTGACTCCCTAATCGCCACAATTCTCGCATTAATTTTAATATTTTTTCATTCTATTCCACGAGATTTTGCAGAAAACGTGCGATGATCTGTTCACTTTGGTAAGTTTAAGTCGTGCATAATTAAGGTCTATGAATACATCGAACGAGCTTCTGCCTCACTTATAAATCGGACGTAACTTATGACAGCACTATTTATAAATTTGATACAATAATTATTTCTATTTTATTTTTGTCACTAATTAAGTTGAAGTAAATAAATGCAAATTTGACGCGCAAAAATATTCTCCATAATGCGTCATAACTACCCACATCCTGACATTCCTATCAACATTACACATTTCTTTATTCTTTCACTTTTTATAATGAAAACTGTAAAGTCCAATGAAGAAAATACACAAAGAATTTATCTGATATATTCATGGCATGAAGTGCAATAGATTGAAATGAGATATGAGATATCATCACCGATGCAGTGTAGAAACATATGTACAGATACATGTTAATATAAGCGGCAAATTATAATTTGTTATAGGAGCATAAAGAATAAGAAAAACTTCATCTGTTGTTTGCATCGCATGTGCCTACCTGTGCTTACCCGCATCATTCACAGCATATAATATACATAAAAATAAATAATTGTAATGAGATCTTACACACGGTCGTCGCTGACTACTTGAGTCACTCACTGGATATTCGATGACTAAAGTAATTTAAATTTATTCTTTATTTATTTTTCTCTGATATGATAAAAGATTAATGTTACAGTTCACTAATTGAATGGATTGTTGGTATTCCTTTAATAGTTTAAGATGCATCTACACGTTCATTTGAACTATGAGTATGTGTAGAAGCTAATTACTTTAATGAAGTCGTTATAATTCAAAAGCTGCAGGTAATTTCCTTTATTAGTGCATAAATCTCTTCACATCTACGATTTTTCTGGATTTTTTTTTATTTCGATAAAAAAAAATTGATAAGGTAAATTTGCAAAAATTACATTATCTAAGAGTAAGATGTACTTACTGTTCGCCCTGCTTGAGTGCATTTCACAGTATAATGAAGGTTTTTTGCAACTGTTTCTATCGTAAATCTACCGCGTCAACATTTTTTAAGTCAGAATTCTTATGGGGAGAGAAACTGTTCTTTATGACCGCAGACTTCAAAGACTTCTTTCAACCTTAATATTATTATTAATATTTTTTTTTTGCAAAGTGAATGCTCATTGACCGAATCAACTAACAGGCATATCAATTGTTCCATGTGTACTTGCATCTTGTAAGTTATGAGGCGCTAATTAAGTTAACTTGCATGCTCAATTAACTTTCTGTTATTTTAAATCATCCACTTCTCGAGCATCTCTTGCTCATCGACTGTTATATTTATATAGTCACAGCATAAAGCATGAAAATTTATTTATTTCAATATTTATTAACTACACTTGTATACATGATACTGTTGAATTGATATGGATGTTGTAAAATTATCAGCTTTAGTATGTCCAACTATGATTTATTGCTTTTGTGATCTAGATATGATTGAATTGTTCAGAATTTGTATTTTTCTATTTCAGTTCTTAAAATATTCTCAATTGCCTCGAGATAAATTACTTCTCATTCTATTAGTATAGCTTTCAATTTATCAAGCAAATGAAAAAAACCATTCCTGAGACAATTTTAAGTACGTTAACGATCCCGAAACTTATAAGACAATTTTTTAGATACGCTTCGATTTTTCTACATTTTTCTCTGTCTCAGAACACAAGAATCTAGGAAAAGTCACAAAATCTCTTTTCTCTCACTTGATTCATTCGCACAGGATATTCAAGTCGTTTCCGATAAACATTTTTATCGCACCAGTAATAATAATAACAACCATGTTGAAAGGAGTATCATAATATGATAACAATCTCACAATCGAGGGAATAATGAATTACCTTTATAAATCAATTACCGTTCCGTACTTGTTAAGACTATAAATTGCTCTATCTTGCTTTATCTTCCAATTGCAATAAGAGAATTCTTGAAATAACTAAATTTACATTTTTTACATAATAATATGGACGTTTAAATGTTTTATGTGATCTTAATCTGATATAGTAAAGTATTGTAAACATTTCTTTCAACTTTTTCCTTCCTTTGCGGTAGCTTTGAGTCGATACTGTTCAAAGACCAAGAAAATATGCAAGTCAATATTCTTATGGAATGCAGTATGTACATCCATGGTTAAATTAATTTCAAAAGTATGTAGATTGCATTAGATATGACAATTCCGATATGAAAAATGTATAAGCATGCCCATCTAAAGCTGTGTGCCTCAAGAAATTAAAAGTAAATAACAATAATGTTAACATTCATGTCGATAGTTATGAGAAACATTTTATCGGATGTAAAAATGAGAAAAAACGAAATTGGAAATCAATTTGCAAAAAATGTAATTATGTGCAAATTGTAGAACTGGGACACGAGTCTGGATCATCGATAATTTTCTCATTTCTGTTTTTTAGCGGATCTTAAAGTGTAGTCATAAAATATTTTATTATAATTGAAGGCAATCAAAATTCTGGATGATTTTATTATTATTGGTGTAACTACTTATAATTGCGATCATCAGCGAATGAAAAAGAATTTTCGAAGACGAGATACTCACAAATAAGTTAAAAGTTTCATAAAATTATGTTTCACTTAGTATGAGTCCCAAATAAAATGTTTAATGGACATTCAGAAATAACAACATCTTCAAAAATTATTTTTAAAATAAAGCTTCGTGAAATTCACGAAAAAATCATCAAAAAATAAAAATCTTAATTTGATGCTGTCAATATGCACTTTCAGACTTCAATTATGAATTAATTTCTTTCAATCCTACAATCTCATCATAATATCTCCATCTTATTATTAAGATCACTCCGAAGTTATCCATTCGACATGTTAAACACAGAGATCAACAACCAAAATTAATAATTTGATTTTTTTTGCATGTTCTTTACAATTTGAGTTCATTTATATAAGCACTATCAGATTTAAAGCTCAGTAGGTGTTAACTGGACTCGTATAGCAATGAAAATATTTCAGTACCGTTAAAAATTCTAAAACTAATACTTTTCTTATCTGTTCTATATCAGGAATATTTAATGACACCAAAGAGTACTCATTTTAGAACACTTTATAAATATAAATATATATTATTTTAAGCAGTGCCGTAATTTATTCTTAATATGCTTTTAATATTCAATTAATACAGTCACGTATACTTAGGATATTTAAGATATTTCGCAATCAGAAATTTTTGTTCGCTGTGGATATGGCTCGAAGAGCATATCCATAGTAGATAGTCCTGAGCATAGGGCTCGCGTTGAACTGGTTATATTTGTATGACGGATAGCCGAAGTGAGATAAGTACCTCGGTTGCCGAGTGGCAGGGATCTCTGATCGAGTGGACTCAGAGATCACCTCTTTTGAGGTTGTGGGTTCAATTCCCATCGAATCCGACTTGTTTTACATTAGTGTACATATATGGCAGTTATAGGGAGATCTACATTCGCAATGATCTTACAATTTC